CCGGTAATTCGGCGAGGAGTCAAATAAATAGCCACAAAAAGCAGCTAATCATCAAGAGCTTAGCTCATTTTCGTTCTATCTTAAGATTTTGAAGGTCAATTTTGGCTTTGACTCTTTTTTTATGCATCATTCTCACCAATCCTCTTCGGACGGATTTCTGACTTCATTGCTTCTGCACAGATAAACTCGCAAATTTTTGGAAAGATTACTGGTTAATTAGTCTATCCTTTAGGGAATTTGCCAACAATTATAGGTTTTAGATTGAATCTAAAGGAAGCAATGAGGTTGCCTACCACCTTTAGAATTATACACGTTTATGGGTAGTTAGGATATGCTATTTAACAATTTAGCTTTATCTATGTAAAATGGAAAATAACTATTCACGTAATTTGATACAACGTAGTTCATGCTAAGAAAAGTCGGTCGTTCATTGCTTCAGTGTCTCATATCTGTGCCAGCCATAATGGATTAAATAGAAGTAGCATCCTCTTTCGAATTATTTATTATAGACTTCTTTTTATTTTTAAGCTCACATTTGGTGACTTGTATTTAACCTTATATTAAGTATCAGTCTTGATGCTATGCTTGTTTTTTATCTAACCGATCAAACCGGTATTATGAAAGAGGTAATCTACTGTTTGCTTGGTGCTTCGGTGCCTTTTTGCTAAGACGCCCATTTATAACTTAAATTTGATTTTGGTTATTAGCGACAAACTAATTTGTATCTGCTATTTTCAAAATTCCTTCACTCCATCAGAAAAATTAAAATATCTTTCAATCGTCGAGGCAGCATATCGATTAGTTTATATTATTTGCTACGATCTATGCTTTCTATACTGGTGCAACAAGGTCGTCTATTATGGTATCACCTCTCATGCCATTTTTTCAGCCAGTAAAAATTTTCTTCATTAATCTTAATACTTTCATGATTAGTCAAAGCAGTATAACGTTCGAAACTATCTTTGGCTTTATAGTTGATCTGCTGACCTCTACATGTATCTCAACTTTTGAGCATTGAAATGCCAATGCCTGAATTTTATCAGACATTTGGCTAAATTTTTTTTTGGATTCCCTGTGCTATGTAATTGAATCGGCAAGCATTTAATTATCATTTTAGAGAATATCTATTTTTCCTACAGTGCTGTTTGCGGATGATATGATGGAAAATACTGTTCTTAAATAGTGTACCCATACCCCCCGAACACATAATGGCTTCGAAGAATCTTATGTTCTGAGCCAGAAACCCAGTGCAATGCATCAGATTGGCTTATGAACTGCCTTTTTTCGGTTTGTCTACTTACACCGACATTTGAGTAATCACCTGTCTTATGGACTAACCGTTTATCACTAAGATAAGTCATCATCCTGATTAGCAATAATTTCCGATTTACCTTTGCTTTATTAAATTTCGCTCCAAAAAATATTGCTATTGAATTTCCTATGCATCGAGCGAGAGAGTAGTTAATACTTTATCTCTACCCTATGCTTATCTTTCTCAGACCGCGAATGTCTCAACGAAAAAGGCAGTTATCGAAAATAGTTCTGACTACGTCCAGGGGGCCGGTGATGAGGTAAAAGATTACGTATGCGGCTCCAGGCAACCAGCAGAGATCGGACCTCGATACCGACACATTGCACACTCTCCCGATGCCCTCAACACGTCACACTCGATCGGCTCCGATGCCCCCTTTCTCTCTGATTTGACTGAGTCTGCTATCCCCATAAGTCCAGAACACATTGAGTCCTCTTCCATGCGACAGACAAAATGCCAGCCCGACTTTAAAATGAACTCAAACTTAACAAGACCTAATCGAATGCAATGTTCTACTACCCCTTACGCCCTGGGGAACCGAATAATAGATCATTCTTCGGTGACGCCAGCGATAGTAGCCACCTCCGAAGATCCTGTCATGGAGTGGAATCATGAGAGATCAGCCTCTTTACCTTCAGAAACTTACCCTCGTCACAGTAATCAAAATCAACAATATCATCATCATCTCCATCGACACCTTCATCATCACCACCATCGGGACGACGTTAATCTTGATTATGAAAAGTCTCAACATGTTGGCCTAAAGAAGATGTCACATTCAAGCAGTCTAACTGCCTGGCAGCCAGGCATGCTAAACCAATTGAACATTGAGCTGGATGCTTCTGATGCTGATGGTGCCGACTCTCACAACTCCATTTTGCCTACCTTGTCTCCATTTTCGGACAATTTCAGAGGCCAAGTTACCACAATCAATTCTACAATGACGGCCGCTACCCAAAACTCCATCACTACAGCACCTAACGCAAGTTCACAAGAGCC